ATGTAGTCCTAACATCTTCCGACATTTTGTGGCAGGTAAGGGACACTGGTTAGGTTTAAAATGTTAAAGTATATTCCTACTTTGTTACAATTGAAATAATTGTAGAAAAATCTAGATTACTTTCTATCAGTTAGGCTACTTACTTTTTGCAGTTCACCAAACTTCAAATAGATTATTTAACTCTTGGAAACATCCTACGAGGGCAAGGCCCTGTGAGTTTATACTGCACCTGCCTGGGGCTCTGGTGGTGTTACCCTAGTACAAATAATAATAGACTAGAAACTGACTTTAAACAGGAGTGAAACTGATACTTTAAAGTCACTTTCACTTCTGGTTAAAGGCTAGTTGCTTTCCAGAAGGCTCTTAAACACAACACTACGGTGATTGATCTGCAGTTCTCACTGGAGAATATCTAAAACCAAGCACCAAGAAAATTCCACATTTTAATGTTGAGAAAAAATTGAGTCTTGTTTATTATTTAGAGTTTGTGTGTGTGTGTGTATATATGTGTGTATAGAGTACCATTCTGTGTTTGGACACTGTGCCTTAGTTACCATTGCTGTAAAATGGGAATAACAATACATGCCTGCCTGCCATATGGAATTATAAGGGTTAGACTGAGATCTGTGGGACCGGAACTGGGCCTTCTTAGTGGTTTGTATGGTGCCTAGCACAATGGGGGACTCCTACTGATTAAGGTCTTTGGGCGCTACTGTAACATTAGTCAGCTGTTGAGATGCCTGCTGGTGGTAGCTGAAGGGGACTTACCGGGTGGGTGGGATGCCGGTGGAGTACAGGTCGATCTCTGTGCTGGCCAGCAGCACGGCCTTCATCCCCTGCCAGCTCAGCACCTGCTGGCAGAATTTGCAGCACAGCCTGGGGGGGGGACACCTGTCCTTGAAGCTGCAACCACTAGTGGACATGAGGGCTCTGGAGCAGAAGGGCCTGTGCCCGGTCTCTTAAGGAGTGGAGAGGTTGCTCCCTGCTTCCCTGAGGGCAAACGGACGTCCACACCCATGTAGCTGCTCCTAGCCTCCCCTTCTTCACCTCCCCTTGCCCCAGGGCCTGCTCCCACACCCCCTGCTCCCTCCCTCAGGGCACAGCCCTATGCCCTCATCTCTTTCTTCCCCTGGATGTTGACTCCCCTTTCCCACCCCACTGGACCTCTCCCACCCAGGCTCCAACACCCCCCCACCACTGGGGGCCCTCTCCTTCCCACCCCCCCCCCATCTGGGGACCGTCCCCCTCCCCCCCCCCCCCCCCCCCCCATCACCACTCGGGACCCTGTGCTCTCCCCCCCGCCCCGACTGACCCCTTCCTTGCCTGCCCCACCCTCAGAGGCAGACGAGGGGACGGGTGGAGAGCTGGCACAGCGGGAGCCGTAGCGGAGAACCCTTTCTCCTGGAGGAGGAGATCTGGCTGTGCGGCGCTGCAGGTCAGAGCTCCACCTGGGGCTGGGGTGAGCACCATGAGATATGAAACAGGGGGGATAGGACAGGTGCCTCCCCCTGCTCTCCCTAAATGGGGAGGCACTTGCCCGATACCACCGCCAGGCTCACCAAGCAGCAGCGCCTTGGGGGCTGAGGAGAGGTGAGCAGCTAATTTGAGAGGGAATGGGAAGGGTAGGGATGAGGGAGAGCAGAGTTATATGAGGGGAGCACGAGGGAGCGTGTGGCTTGAGTTAGGTGGGGCCTGGAGTCGGAGAAGCAGAGGGGAGAGGCGCTGTGTACTGACAAACCACCTGTGATTTGTCGTCATTTGTCGTTGTTTGACCCGGGTAATTACAGGCCTGTTAGTTTAACATCTGTAGTATGCAAGGTCTTGGAAAAAATTTTGAAGGAGAAAGTAGTTAAGGGCCTTGAGTTGAATGGTAATTGGGACAAATTACAACATGGGTTTACGAAAGGTAGATCGTGCCAAACCAACCTGATCTCCTTCTTTGAGAAAGTAACAGACCTTCTAGATAAAGGGAATGCGGTGGATCTAATATACCTCGATTTTAGTAAAGCGTTTGATACGGTACCGCATGAGGAATTATTGGTTAAACTAGAAAAGATGGGGATCGATATGAAAATCCAGAGGTGGATAAAGAACTGGTTAAAGGGGAGACTGCAGCGGGTAGTACTGAAAGGGGAACAGTCAGGTTGGAGGGAGGTCACCAGTGGGGTTCCTCAAGGTTCGGTTTTGGGTCCGATTTTATTTAATCTATTTATTACTGACCTCGGAACCGAATGTAGGAGTGGGCTGATAAAGTTTGCGGATGACACAAAGTTGGGAGGTATTGCTAATTCGGAGAAGGATCGGGATATTCTGCAGGGAGACTTAGATGACCTTGTAAATTGGAGTAATAATAATAGGATGAGATTTAATAGTGAGAAGTGTAAGGTGATGCATTTAGGGATGACTAACAAGAATTTTAGTTATAAGCTGGGGACGCATCGGTTAGAAGTGACGGAGGAGGAGAAGGACCTCGGAGTCCTGGTTGATCGCAGGATGACTATGAGCCGGCAATGTGACGCGGCTGTTAAAAAAGCTAATGCGATCTTGGGATGCATCAGGCGAGGTATTTCTAGTAGGGGCAAGGAGGTGCTCCTTCCGTTATACAAGGCGCTGGTGAGACCTCATTTGGAGTACTGTGTGCAGTTCTGGTCTCCTATGTTTAAAAAGGATGAATTCAAACTGGAACAGGTACAGAGAAGGGCCACTAGGATGATCCGAGGAATGGAAAACCTTTCCTATGAAAGGAGACTCGAGGAGCTCGGTTTGTTTAGCCTAACCACAAGAAGGCTGAGGGGGGATATGATTGCTCTCTTTAAATACATCAAAGGGATAAATACCAGGGAGGGAGAGGAATTATTTCAGCTCAGTACTAATGTGGACACGAGAACGAATGGATATAAACTGGCCGTGGGGAAGTTTAGGCTTGAAATTAGACGAAGGTTTCTAACCGTCAGAGGGGTGAAATTTTGGAACAGCCTTCCGAGGGAAACGGTGGGGGCGAAAGACCTCTCTGGCTTCAAGATTAGGCTAGATAAGTTTATGGAGGGAATGGTTTAATGGGATAACGTGATTTTAGTCAATTAGGTAATAAAGTGCCATCGCTGGTAAAATGTGGGTCTGGCTAGAGAATCTTGCCTGTATGCTCGGGGTTCTACTGATCGCCATATTTGGGGTCGGGAAGGAATTTTCCTCCAGGGTAGATTGGCAGAGGCCCTGGAGGTTTTTCGCCTTCCTCCGCAGCATTGGGCAGGGGTCGCAAGCTGGAGGATTCTCTGCGACTTGAAGTCTTTAAATCACGATCTGGAGACTTCAACAGCTGAGTTAAGGGAAAGTGGGTGGGTCAGCTTTTGTGGCCTGCATCATGCGGGAGGTCAGACTAGATGACCATAATGGTCCCTTCTGACCTTTAAGTCTATGAGTCTATGAGTCATAGAGCTCCCCTTCCCGCTCCTCCCAGCTCCATCTTCACTCTGTCCCTGGGCCCCCACATGCTCTAACAGCCCAGCTCTGCAGCCCCAGGCTCTCCCCTGGATTCCCCCCAACTTATACATCCAGGACCATGTCCAAAAGCTGCATGTGATATCGAATGAGTGGGTGGGGAGCACATGTGATATCGAATGAGTGGGTGTGGGGTGTCTGGGAGTGTAGCAGGGCTGTAGGCTCAGGAAGATGGTGGCAATCTAAGCATTGTGATGGGGAATAGGACTTCATAGGGGATGATGGCTGGGAATTCAGTTCTGCAGGGAGCTGGGGCACTGTATGGGGCCTGGCAGAGGATAGCATGTATCAACACTGCTATGTGATGGACAGCTCTCAGTGCCAATACCTACTTACTAAAATAGCTGGGGGATTTCCCCACAAACCTGGCAGACTAAGCAATAGAGCCCATAAAAAAACAAGGAAATAAGTAGTTATGTCTTTCAATATCCCATCTACATCCACTCATCAGTTCCCCTTATTAACCACAACAAATCTCTCTTCCTCCACCCTCGACACACATTTCTCTTTCCTCATCCTGCGCAGTTGAAACACAGCCTAAACTCCACTGCAAGCAATGCACTGGTTTCAGTGCTGTCATTTCTGCATGAAAACCACTGTCCAATTTAGCACAGTTGCTAACATCACATTCCATAAACAGTGCAGAAAGTCACAGCTCTCCGCTGCCACCCTTCCTGCTCTTCCGTTAGAAACCCAGCTACAGAAGAATGATGTGCCCAACCAAACCTATGTTAATCCTCAGAACGCATTCGCACGTAAGTTATAAACAAGCTTGGTCATGGGCTTTGGGAAGAAGGACTGGGACACAGTAATGATAAGGAGTCCTCTGGTGCAGCTGCAGATCTGCATCTGAGGCTGCTATTTCAGAGGGTGAAGTGGCAGAAGAAGATGATCCCTGCCTAGATTTAGGTTTGATACAACCTGTGCTGGGTGTTTACTCTGTTGCATTAGTGTATTAGGTTGCATTTAATAGAGGTTTGTATTAGTTTTTCCTCTGAGGCCCTGACACCTCACTGGGATTGTGTGGGGCTGAGTTGCTTCCCCCCGCCCCGCTGGACTGGGACTAAGCTCCTGGTGAAGCATTTTATCTACTATAATTCCTTTTGTGTTGCAGTCAGTAGAGGTGCTGTGGGGGGGGGGGGGGCAGCTAGATGTCTGTATTTGTGACTAGTACTGTTGCTCAGAAAAGCACACTGTATCTTTCACTGAACACAGCAAGCTGATGTTGTTTCTTAGTAAACATCATGTTTTCTTTTCTCCCGAACATTATTTCCTCCCTTCTCAGAACTGTAGCACATCAGGGAGGAAGACTGTGTCAGTTCTGTACTGCAGCACGGCGCTGGAACCAAAGTATCAGTTCTGCATTGTATTTGAATAACTAGAACTCAAGACTATTGAGTTCCTTTTTATATGTGTGACTCACTCACAGGGAAAAGAAGCAGATTTACTCAACAGTTCTAATTGAACAAAAGTTAAACCGACTCTTTTTGGTTTATTCCTAGGATCATGGAGGAGGAAGAAGCAGCCACGGGAGGATGTGAAGATGTCCTTGGACAAAGGCATGTAGAAGTCTCCATTGATGTGTATAGCTCACAGTTTGAAAACATTCTAGACAATGCTTCTTTATATTATAGTGCGGAATCCCTGGAGACTTTATACTCGGAACCTGATAGCTACTTTAGTTTTGAAATGCCACTCACTCCGATGATCCAGCAACGTATCAAGGAAGGCAGTCAGTTCTTAGAAAGAACTTCTGCTTCAGGACAGCAAGATGTCTGTAATCTTCCCACAAATGGTGAGATCAAGAGTCAATGCGGAGAGATCTCCAGTGGACTAAGGGACGTAAGTGACACCCTCTTCAGAAGAGACGTCACAGAGGTTACTCATTTGGACAGGTAAAAAAAAATTTTTTTAACGGGCATTTGCTTCTGCAGCATATCTCAGAATTCATTTTGGAATTCGTAATGGTGAAGATTTTTAATCAGGGTGTATAACTGTGTCCAGTGAAACAAATTTAATAATTTATTACAAAGTACAAAAATACTACACGCTGCCTGCTATGCAAGGAGAATGACAGGGAAAACAAACTAGAGAAGTGTGACAGGGAAAATGCAAGAGGAGGCAGTATATTTGTAGGTTGTTTCTTGTTTTTTGGAACACCTGTTTGGTAAGCTAGACATCACGCTCTGTGCTGGTTTGGAGGCTGAAGAGTGCAGGGTGGGGATGGGGGCAGGAAAGAGAGGCAAGTCAGATACAGAAGCAATAAAGTCAAATTGTTTTCAATCTGCCAGCCTATCAATAGTGGCAGGAAGCCCTGGTGCTTAGAGTGGTGCATCTAATGCTACAGTTGTACAAATTACAACAGCCCCGGTTTACAGATGAAGCTACAAATGACTCTTGATGAGGGGGGGCTCAGATTGCTGAATGAGCCCCTCAAGAAGGGTTTTAATGGCTTTGCTGCACAAAGAGGAGAGATGGAACCAAAAGTAGACTGATGCCAACCGGGCTGAGCAGGGCAGGGTGTTGTCACAAAGGTAGGCTTGAGAAAGCAGTACACACGTTGTGCATTTTGTACCTTGGGGAACAGAGAGACCAGGAAGGACTGGACTAGTATGATCTTGCCAGGCTGTGTATGCTAGGATACAGCGTGTGCATTGACTTCACTTCTTTTTTTCCTTTTGTGCTAGGCTCACAAAGTTAACCCTTAGAAATAGAATAGAAATACTGTCTGCTAATGAATAAAAGTTATTAAAAGGTCAAGCTACCTGTACAGGGACGCTCTCGGTAGTTTAGACCCATCATTTAGTTATTTCTCCCTTCCCCAATTTTTTTTTAACAAGCCTTGGACAACGTTGTGCTATTTGAAGTAAATAGGAACAAAGCATTTGCAGACATGCTGCAAACAGCATGAGGCCAGAAACCTGTATAGATCCCAACACTGGCAGCCCTGAATTCCACAGAAATGCTGCTCAGTGGAATTGCCCCTAGACATGACAGCAGAAAGGCAAGGTAATGGGCAAATTTCCATGAGCAGTTGTTACATTACTGCAGCTCCTAGCAGCCAATGAATAGAAAGGATCTGTCTGGGAAGTGCCCAAACTGGCCCTTCAGGATATGTTTACACAGCAAGGAAAGACCAGGATTAGTAGAACTCAAGTTAGCAGACCCTGAGTATTATTGCCTGGGGCTTGAACATCTACCCTCATGTGTAACCCAGGCAATTATTGAACCTTGGGTCCCAACCTAAGTTCCCTGTAAGCTGCGTGGCCACACAGCTGTCTATTAAGCCCCGCACAGGGGCTCAGGGCTGTGGCGGGGAGAGAAGCCTCTTCCCCAGCATGGAGCTGGCCCAGCGGGGAGAGGCACTCCTCCCCGCTGGCCCCAGCTTGGACCTGCCCTGGACTTGCCACGGCCAGGGGAGAGGAGCCCCTCCCTCGGCCTCGCCCCGCCAGAGCTGCTGCAGCCGGGGAGAGGCGCCTCTTCCCCAGCCCCGAGCTGCTGAGGCAAGAGAGGCCTGGGAGGAGTCCTCTCTCTCCCCACTGCAGCCCCTGGACAGCCTGCACCCCAAACCCCTCATCCCTGGCCCTACCCCAGAGCCCCCACCCCGGCTCACTCTCCAAACTCCTCGGCCCTACCCCCACCACATTAATTTTGTTATGTGCACCAGTATGAAGGTCATGTGTCACACATTGCCCCCATATTGGTGCACATAACAAAATTCATTCCGAACATGGATGTAAAAAATTAGAGGGGAATACTGGTCCCAACCTGGGGCTCCAGCATCTATGCTACGTTATGTGGGCCTGAGTCCAGCCACCCATATCCCAGACTTCCTGGAAGCATCTCCTATAGATAAGGTTGCCCAACACTTCCCATTATAAGACCCTGTTTGGGATTACTGATTACTTTGTCAATTTCCCATGCTGGGAATCTGCCTCAGGTTGAATTTTATGGGAAATTTTCAGTTAAAATGGTTTGACCATGAGGTTATGAAAAAATATATCGTTTTCGCCAGCTTCTGAGTTTCCCTAACTGGGTTCTCTGGTCATCTCCTCTCCTGAGATTTTCCACTATTCTCTCTGTGTTCCCTGCTTTAAACCAGTGTTCTCAACCTGGGGCACTTGGACCCCTGGGAGTATGCAGAGGTCTTCCAGGGGGTACATCAACTCATCTAGATATTTGCCTAGTTTTACAACAGGCTACATAAAAAGCACTAGTGAAGTTAGTACAGACTTTCATACAGACAATGACTTGTTTATACTGCTCTATATACTATACACTGAAATGTAAGTACAACATTTATATTCCAGTTGATTTATTTTATAATTATATGGTAAAAATGAGAAAGTAAGCCATTTGTCAGTAATAGCGTGCTGTGACACTTCTTTGTATTTTTTTGTCTGATTTTGTAAGCAAAGTAGTTTTTAAGTGAGGTGAAACTTGGGGGTACACAAGACAAATCAGACTCCTGAAAGGGGTACAGTTGTCTAGAAAGGTTGAGAGCCACGGCTTTAAACGCTAGGTAGGCATTGTAATGAGAAATTTGCATGCAGTATAGCATGCGGTCACTAGATGCCACTGTGTGCTGTATATTGTTCCAGATAAAGGGTGAAATCCAGGCCCGGTTGAATTTAATGGGATTGTTACCATTGACTTCAGTGGGCCCAGGATTGCTGTCATGGTGTGATCCCCTGGAAGTGGACTCAAGTTCCATGTAGCTCCAATGGGGCTCTCTGCAGCCTGAGGGGTTGGTTGATGGATGGAGGGTACACCCAGGAGAGCTGGTTGAGGCCCAATCCTGTGAAGATTTACACATGGGCTTGGTGTTCAGCATGTGAGCAGTTCCACTGCATTCAATCCCATGCTTAAAGCCACGTATGCCTGTCAGAATTTTCAGGGCTGACGCATAAAAATTGAGATTCGGGGATCAAATTCTGACTTAAATGGGGTCGAGGACAGGCGTTCTCAACCTTTTTCTTTCTGAGCCCCCCTCAGCATGCTATAAAAACTCTGGGGCCCAGCTGTGCGGGAGGAGGGACCCTGGGGCATAGGTGTAGCTTGACTTCTATTGGGGGTGGGGGCCGAGGGGCCGGCAGGGCTCAGGCCAGCTCTGCACAGCAGGGTCCAGGAAGGGAGCGCCACCTCTAGTCCCTGACTCACCTCCTCAGGCCACCCACCTGTCTGAGGCTGTGTGCCAGTGGCTACTTCCCGAGGGCTCTGCTGGGTCTGGAGATGCCCGGGCAGCTCAGACCAGCTGCGTGAGCAGTCAAAGGGGGCTGGGAGCGGAGGAGCAGCCACAACCCCGGGCACCAGCAGCAGACGGGGAATGCCAGGGCTGCCCACTCCATGGCACCACCAGCCAGAGGAGCAGCTGCCCCGCACTGCCTGGCTCTGGCTTCCTGCCTAGGACCTGGCCAGAGGGTGGGGCTGAGGGGGGCTGAGGGAGAAGAGGAGGTGGGGGGAGGGGGAAAGCTGCCCCCAGGACTACCCCACTCTGGGTAAGGCGTTGCAGTTTGGGGGGCAAGACCCTCGTGCCCCCCCAACTCTGCCCATGGGCTCAGGGTTTCTGCCCGTGGTGGTGGTGCTTCAGCCCCGCCGCTCCTGGCTTCAGGAGGATGGGTGGGGCTCGGGGTTTTAGCCCCACACTGCTCCCAGCTGCAGGGAGGTTGGGGGGGCTTGGGGTTTTAGCCCCGCACTGCTCCCGGCTTCAGCCCCACGGGGAGGTGCCGGGGCCTCAACCCTACGCCGCACCCCATTTCAGCCCCGCAGGGGGTACCGGGACTCGCGGCTTCAGCCCTGTGCCCCTCCCTGATTCAGCCCCGCAGCAGGCCCCGGGGCTCACGGCTTCAGCCAAACCACACCAAACTAACAACCACCAGTAAACCAGTTTACTGTCTCCTCAGATTCAGACACACACAATTTGGGGTGGAAAGTGCAAGAAAAACGTTCCCAGATGCAGATTCTGGTTTCTGGAGTAACAGTTCACGAAAGACAGCTGGTTCTTTAAATCCAATATCTATGCAAAAGATACAGGCTTGACAGGGAAGGGTCAATGAGTTCCATGTTAAAACTCGAAAATAGCTTTTTTTTTTTTTTTTTTTTTTTTTTGGTGTAAAGAAAGGAGAAGCAGCCACTTGACATTCCCCCAGTCCTCACGAACTCAGAATGAAATCATCTGGATAGATAGTCACGAAAGGCCTGGTTTCATGTACTCTGAGATGCCCTTTTATGCAGTGCTGGCCGTATAAAGGGGCCGTCGTGCAGATGAGAATCAGGCCCTAGATGTTGATCCGTCTGGGTGTAATGTATGGCAATAATGCAACTCAATCTGTTAATGAATGTGCAGAAGTAGTGCAGACAGGGATGCTGCTCAGCTGGTAGGAGCACTCTCTTGGAGGGAGAAACACTGCTCTGTGAAGGCCAGTCACATGGCTCTGAAATAAATAAATAAATAAATGATTAGAGACTTCCAGGCTACAAGTTCCTATGGGCTCCTTTGTGTCTGGGTGTTTCTCCCCTGACAGCCTATCAGCTGCTGACCTTGACTACATTCCGTAAGTCCTAACACAAACTATGCATGACAAAAACCAGGATCACTATGACAATGGCCTGCAGAATCCTGAATGGGGGCCGGGAGAGGGGCACTGCCTTGCTTTGCTGAAATCAGCCAGCTGGCAGGTTCTTAGGCGGGAGCTTTGCTGAGTCTCTCTGAAGTACAGGTTTGCTTGTTTTTAAAAGGAATCCTCTCCTCATATGTACAGTTCAGTTATCCAGCTATTTTTGCTGATGGTGCTTAGAGCTCAACGGAGGAGGGGAGAAATGGGGATGAATGAGACCTGGGTGCTGCTTGTATTCCTGGGGAAAGATTTTCAATCTTCTATTTCCTGTGGGGTTT